GAGAGGCGCCTACGGACTGGGACTGTGGAACTGGGAGCCTCAAATTCCTCGCCTCTCGGCAAAAAGGAAGGCGCAGGCTTCCATTGTTGCCTGTAGGCGCTTTTGCCTGTCCCATGCACCCAGTGCTAGGCAATTCATCATTGCATACTTGTTCCTGCAACCTGTCCCCATCCCCCCCCGCACCTCGCCCATAAAGCAACAGCCGAAGCTCGATTTCATCAGAAACATGCTGCGATTTGCAGTCAAGTGCCGCACGGCCAAGTTAGACCTGCAATATGATAGCTTCGGAATGGGTCAAGTCAAGTCAAGTGGTCTGCAGCTTGTTCAGATGCTGCCTGCCGTGACCTGCCTAGCTAGGACCTTCTTCTTTTTTTGGGGTGTCATCGGTGTGCAAGTTCTCATCAGGAGTGCTCTGCAGTCAAGTGGCTGGTCTGAAGCAAGTATACGAATGAAAAACACCGACTGGCAAACCCAGGCTTTTTGACAAAGGCTCGTCCCATGGCATTCGGATTTAGATCGCAACCCAAATACTTTGACTCGACTGCTGGCGGTGGAGCAGCAAGTGCTGTGGTTCGAAGAGAATCTTTCAGCCAGGCATGGAACTCATGATGCCAAGGGCCCCCAAGAACGATCGTGCACGAATGACTCCTTCAGCTAACCTCGGGCGCCGCTTGATTAGCGAATTGGATCCAGTCACTTCGCCACTCAGTCTTGCCCACCCCTTGGTTGTTGCAGGTTGTGGAGCAGGCACAGTGCAAGTTTCATCTAATTCATACGGCTCCTCCTCCTCCTCCTCCTCCCCTCCTTCTCCTCCCTCCTGCTATTGTTACGGCAGGCAATTCCGCAGTTCTCAGATCTCGAGCTTTCTTTGCTCAATTCACGACAGTGACCTCATGCACCTACAACATGCCTTCAACATGATGCCCTTAATCCCTAGATCCTGAACCGTTTCGGTGGTCTAGATGTTGTTCCGGGTTGCCATCCTTGCCTCAGGGGTCAGTATTGAATACAGTAGGGGTTTGGGCCAGATAGGTAGCAGCCTTTGGCTGCTAAGCCTGTGGAGCATGATGATGGCTCCATGGCAGTCCTTGGCATCGATCGGGAGGCCGGTGCTCCAGGACACTGAAGCTTTTATCACTGTATAGTTTGAACCGTTTCCTGGGACAAGGGTATCATTGCGGGATTAAGGTAAAAGCTTAGGCTCGGAGCTGCGGCTCCGAAGGCCTGAGACTCTTCAGAGAGTTACCTCCTCTCCTCGTTTCATGCAGATACAGGCGGGAGGTGGACAAGTATGAAGGTAGTGCGGACTGGCGGTGTGATACTGGCACCCAAGTCACCCAACTCTCCAGAGCAGCAGATGTGCAATATTGTGCAATGCACGTTTGTAATTCGGTTCCGGAGGTTTGATCGAATCAGCTTGTGGCCGCGACTGTTTCCGTCCAGGTCAATGGGAGCGAACTCCCATGTGGCTTCGAAGACTTTTGTGAGGCAGGGCCAGTTTGAGAGCAGGCAAGACTCAAGACTGAGGCAAGGCTTGTCGTGTACGGCGGCACTGGCACCTTTTCGAACGTCCCAGAATCGCAGGAAGCCTCGTCTCCTTAACCTTATCAACTCCCGTTCAACTCACATTGCGCCCTTTTTCTAACAGCACCAGGTCCCAAAGCCCGAACTCCAAACCTACATGTAAATCCTATATAGGTCCTAAGCCCTTTTACCCCGAGGCCCCAACAGCAATTACTTACGCGCTACGATTCCTAAACCCTTGCAAGCTTTGCCCACTGATAGAAATCTCATGAATTGCTACCACATCTCCCTGCCCTCCATCCAGAACAACAAACGTCACAAACGCCGCGGAAGCCATGACCTGTGACGAATTGAGCAGCTCCGATTCCTCGGGTTCGGAGTCGGAGTTTGAGAAGGAGGCATGGCTTGGAGGTTTGTTTGAATCGCTTTTTGATTCTCGTCTTGTTTTATATGGCTCGTGCCAACAGGCTTACTGCTTGTTCAACATTGACATGTTGTTCGTTTTTTTGGTTTTCATTCTTTGGACACGGGCTGTACAGATGTGTGCGAAGTGGGTTTTGTACAGTGTTCGTGGCATTTTGGCTTTTTTCGGCTGTTGGCACGAATCACTAGGCTTTTGCGCATGGGCTGCCTTTGGTTGTCGCTCTCGGTAAATGCGATGAGGTCGTATGTCGTCTGTGGTATCGGTATCGGATATGCCCCATATCATTCGGAGGCAGCGGCGGATGACCGCGGCGCTGAGTGAGTTCGCTTGATGTTTGGTCTTCCGTCGGTGGAATGCATGCTGCAACTTTGTCAGTGTCCTGGCAGGAGCAAACCTGATACCGCGGCACGAATCATTGAAACATTCTTGCGGCGTCAGGTTTATATTCATGCGATTAGGTGTGGCTGATTTGAGAACGGGTCCTTTCGAATCTCTCAGTAGTTTACGACAGTCCGAGGGTTCACACCCCCAAGCTCTAAACGATGAAGCCAGAGCCCCACACAACCTCGCAAAATGCAGTTTTAACATATCCTCAGCTCTAGTTCAGCCGGAAGCACCCGCAGCGGTGTAGGTAAGGTTCCACACGGATGACCCACATCTGTAATAGCAACTACAGAAGTATTTGTTATCCTGGTAGTGGTTATACAGTTATACTAGCACTAGCAAAGACAAGCACAGTAAATCGGAAGCCATGGGAATACTCATCGTAGCATAGACCAAAGTGTTCATATTCTCTTTACACTTTCGGGTAGTTTCGCTTCATACATGTCATGCTCTTGTTATGTTGTGCGCTCACGGTAACTTCTTTTGCGAGGAGTCTGCGACGACTATAGACTATACTGGACACGGCTGGGAAGCCTCAGCTTACGGTCAAGGCAGCGGAGGGCAACCCGTTGTTGAGCTTTGCTTGCGGTGCGTGTTTGTGCTCATCCGAGATGTCAGTGTTAGTTTACGGATCCGCCTGCTTTGATGGTCCGCATTGAGTCCTCATAGTTTGGCAGATCACTGCTGCTGCGATCATCGTTTTGCGCCCAAACTTCTTCTAAATCCAGGCCCCAAGCTTCGAAACCTTTCGACCCTGACCTAAAATCAGACATCCCGTTCTGTCGCATGGAGAGGAACGCAGCTCATTGCCCTTCCAACGGCAGCGGCCTGAGACAGAGTGGGGTTTGTACTGGATTCGCTTGTGATGCAAGGGTCGAAGTAAAGCACCTTGCAGTCCAGTAAAGTGTCAACATCCATTGCAGGTCGGTGTCCCATGCACAATCTGACAGTCTAGAAGTGATTTCGGGTCCACCAAATTGGAGCTGCCTCCAGGCATAACTCAAATGATGTCCATGGCAGCAAAACCACGAGTGTAGGTTATGTTTGCCACGCAGGAAAGAAAGTGCTGTAGCTCGAAGAACCTTTATAGGCTAGAGAAGACTGCGCCTCTTTTTGTACAATCGGTGATGCTCGGTCCTTCTTCTCAGACAGAGCTAGTCTTACAAAGTTTACAGATTGCGACCCGAAGGTGAAATGCACCGTCGAGTACTTCATGTCCTGTCCTTCCAGGTATGAATGACTTTGGAGATTCGTACTCGCTTGTTGGTGTCGCCATATCCAGAGCGCATACCTCAATTGCCCATTCGTAGGCAAATTGCCAGTGCGCATCATCGAGGGCAAACGGTCTGTTAGAGTGCGAGCTTCATCTACCTTCAAGCCTGAAGTCATCGAGCCATCGTTCCTCCGCCCTTTTTTAACTTGATCCAGCGTCATCAACTGAGCCACGTCACTACACAGCCTTTCCTTATCAAGCTGCCCTTTCCCTGGGGAGGAGGTCAAACCAGCAGTGTAATCACTCCCCCAAAGTCCTCGTTGACTAGTCACTCTTGCTCTCGCAGCGGGTGCGGAGGATAAATTAATGCATCTCGTAGTTCTAGTTCCACATGTAGACGAAGTCCGCAATGAGGGAGCCGGGGAGCCCGTCCACAATGGCCTGTACTAAAAGCTCCCCGCCTCATGCCGGATCAAAAAAGAAGCTCGGCTCTTTCATCAAACTTAGCTGCACTCACGTCATTTGTGACTACCTAAATCCTGTCAGTTGTGAGTCCCTATGCTGTCCCGGCTGCCTGGATTTTGTGACTTCGATTCCGAGAGGCTGGAGGTCGCACCGATGTATTACCAAAAAAGGCGACCGCACTGGCGACCCTCGGAACCTCTCGTCCTTAAATCGGCAGCCATCCTGCCTACAGGCTTGATGTATTTGTTGTGGTGGATGTGGTGGCTCAAAACGAGGCCAGCTTGAGTGCAGGCAAGACTGAGGCAATGCTTTTTGGCGTGTACGGCGGCAACGGAGCACTTCGAATGTCCTGCAAGTGCTTTTTGGAAGGTCCGAACACCGCAAGTAGATCTTATCAGAACTCACTCAACTTGGGCCCTTGACCCTGTAATCCCCGAACCGCAAATCCTAACACCACCAGGCCCCAAAACCCCAAACCTGTATATATGTAATCCTAAAACTCCTAAACCTATTCGCATCTAGACCCTAGAAGCAACTAAGCTTCATGACTCCCAAACTTCTATCATTCCCTCGCCCATGCGCAGATGTTCCCGTGAAGCAGTCAGGCGGGCGAAGGCGTCACATCCAGCCTGCTCTCTGGAGGTGCCGTTGGTCCGGATTTGAATCTTGAGACTTGCTGCGGTCTTCTCCTCGCTCATAGCTGCACATCGGTCGTCGTGGCTCATCTTGTCGGCTTTGCTTGCGTTCAATGCCCCACTTAAAGGATCATGGGACTTAGTAACTAGGGTTATAATTGAGGTAACTGGACTGATAACTACTTATATATCCACTTAGGGACTTAGGGTACTTATAACCTTATTTACTCAGTCCCATGATCCTCCAAGTAGACCCTAAACCCTAAACCCTATAAATCCCTTTAAGGAACCCTATAGATCCCTATAAGGACCCCTTAAAGGAGCCATACTCACCCGGGCGAGCCCTAAAGCTGGCATGGGGCGCAACAGGAAGCCAGGTCTGGGCCTCGGCTCTTGCGCGTAGGAGTGTACCCAGTTAAATCCTTCTTGCCCGAATCTTCGAAACCTTAAGCCGTTTAGGGTTTAGGGTTTAGGGCTTAGGGCTATAAACCCTAAACGTGTTCCTTCACCTAGCCGCTGAGGTCCTCAACGGGGTCTTCTCGCGCCGGCTCACGGCCCTCAAGTGGTGCGCGTCACACAGATCTCCGGAGAAGAGCACAGCGTTCCTGCTGCGGAGATCTACGATGTGAAGAGCCTGAAGCAGAAGTTGCAGCCGAAGCTCAATGTGTCGCCGTTCAGGCAAGATGTCTGTCACGGCAACAAGGTTTTATGTGGTGATGCCAAAGTCCACTCCGAGATGGATCTTACGGTTGTGACACGGCCAAGCGTAGAAGCTTCCGGCAGTCAGCGTCAACGGCTTGCTAATGCCGCCCAGTTCAACAAAGTGACGGAGGCCAGAAGGGCTAAAACTTGGGAGATCTTGAAACCCTGACACCCGTACAATAAGCAATCTATCAGGTCCCAACCCCTGAGTTTGTGCACCTCTCACCAGTGAACCCCCTTTTGATTTTGGAAGCCCTCAGATTCAAGCCCAGCTGCAGCTCGGCATACACCCAGATTTTGCAGTCGATGGTACTACGCCACTCATCCTGGCTTCTTGCAAAGGCCACGTTGCTGCGGTATGGCTGTTCCTGCAAGGTGATGCCAATCCAGATTTCCGCGACGGCGAAGGGCGCACAGCCCTGATGAATGCGGCTCGCTTCGGTCATGTTCAAGTCGCGCGGTTGCTCCTCCGGGCCGGTGCTCGAGTGGACCTGCGCGACGATGACAAGAACACGGCTATGGATCTGGCAACAAACGACACCATCCGGGCCATGCTCTGCGAGGCCGGCCAGGGAGTCAAAGCTCTGTGAAGCCGCGAGCAGAATCAGGATTTCATGCATGGAGGGTGGATGGGGTCGGGTTGAGTTCTTCATTCTTCCCTACTAGCATCCGCTGAGCAGGGGGTCAAGGTTTGAGGGACCTCAAAGCTGGATCCTGATGTACCCCCGCATGTTGATGAAACCTGCGCTCGCAGGCCAAAATTCTCACAAAGTTGGCGGCGAAAGATGTGGAGGTTGAGCCGGGGGCGGCTTGAAAGGACCTGCCTAGACCCGTTTTCCTGGAAATATGGAGAGAGTCGGTAGTCAGATGTAGTCAGGCTTAGGCAGGAGCTGCATTTTACATTCTCTGCCTCCGGGATTTGGGAAAGCCCTCAACACTGTCGTAGTGCTAGAACGGTTAAGGCAACGCCTGTGCTAGTGTTTGCTGTTGAGGGCGAGCTGGGCTCCCATACCAGGGACACCGGCACCGGTTCAGTCAGGTGCGATGCGGTCCTACCGCGCCGCCGGAAATCTCTGCTCGGAGGATCATGGGACTTAGTAACTACAGTTAAATAGTTAAGGAAATTATAGTTGTATACTAACATATAACCCCACTTAGGATACTTAAAACTGATCCTCCAAGTATCTGTCATGGCTTCGGGTGCGTCGATCTGGCGGCCGCAGTCTTTTCCCATGTTGTTCACCAGCTGCCTCTCTGCAGCTCTAAGATAAGCGTGGAGTGGCCCCATATACTGCCGCTAAGCGCCACAGCCAGGCTGCACTACCGCAGTTTGGCCGTTCCCACCTTCCCCACCTCAGAGCTGCGCCCTACGTGCAGCCTGCCCTCGGCTTTTTGCCTGTATGATCCTGCATGTTTCAGGCCCTACATGCCTGCAACACTCCGAGCAGCCGTGAAGCTCATGCACACCAAAAACAAACATGCCTTGCTGCGTCTTGTCGAGCGGGAGCGGAAGCGAGCGGTTGCCGCCGTGATTTGCCAAACTGGACGCAGCTAGACTGGTATATATAGAGAGAGAGAGAGAGAGAGAGAGAGAGAGAGAGAGAGAGAGAGAGAGAACGATTTCTAGTATAGCATTCTTTAGTGGCCGCCAGTGCAACTGGAAGGAAAGCAACGTAATTGCAGAAGCGGTCAGTCCAGCAAAGTGGAAATGCCGCCGCCAAACAGCTGTTGAGCTGGTGAATTTTCTAGCGTGCGTCGAGCATGTGAAAAATGCCAGGACGGTGCCACCAGCACTGTGCAAATCCGCTGGCCACCGAGATTGCTAGGCCTTCGGCGATCGGCAGCTTCGTTCTGATGCCGTTAACTAGAGGAAGAGGATCCGTCATAGCTACCGCTAGCAGTATAATGATGATGCAATTGCCCTAGTTGCGTGGGTGTCTCAAACCGGAGCATTTCTCAGTCACTGTGTAAGATACATTGCCCGTGTGTTTGTTGGTAATCCCAAAGATCGGCAAAGCGCCAGGTGCCGCGAACGGAGCGGTGCAGGCCGACCAGAAGACCTGAACGGATGTTCCGTGTTCTCGTAGAAAGCATCAAAAACCTCTTGGCGGGCTGATCAAGCCGAGTCCTTCCTGCTGCTGGAGGCTGATCACGCACTAGTATGCCGGCGGTTCAACGTTGTGAAGTGCCCTCGTGCGCTTGCGCGTGGGAGTGTGTGCTGCAAGCATGGCCGGAAACGGAAGCATGCAGTTTGGATTTGGATACTTCTGTCGAAGACAATTCGTGACTTGTGTGGCACCGAAGGAGCGCAGAAGGATGCTCATCTCACAAGAGCAGATGCAGGCCCAGCTGGGACATTTCATGTCTCGATCTTGCCTGCGCGCACATCAATTCTTCACCACTGCCCAAGAGTGCAGACGTGTTCAGTTTCTTTGTAGCCAATACGATTCCCAGCACAGCAGGATGTGTTGCGAGTTGCAAGTGCAGGGCAGGATGTTGTGTGGTAACCGGTAGCATATAGGAGCCAGCTGGGGCACCCGGGTAGAAGTAAGAAAACCAGCTGCAACAGTTGCTGCGATGCCGACTGCTCGGCCACGGCCAGCTAATTTCTGCTCACTGCGACTGTGGACAGCCGACGCGTCACTGCTGCCTGCAGGAGCGCCTGAACTCCGGGCAACATCATTGCAAGGCCAATCAAGGGCAGCCGTCGTACGGGTGATCGTTCTCGTGGTGGTCGGGGGACGTAGGGTTTTTTCCCAGTATCATCAGCAACTGTAAAAGTATTGGCCGCATTCGCGCTGCATTCCTGTCAGAGCAAGCGCGGTATAGGGGAAGGGAAAGCTGCCTTTGCGAGAGAGGCAAATGCAACAGAGAGTAGTGGGCTGCAGGAACGAGTAAAGCAGTGCCTCATGTTCTCAATTGCAAACCATGTGGAAGGTGAAGCTTTTGGCGCAGAGACAGGCGCGCTCTTTGACTGTCAAGGGCCAAGGGTAGACACAGCAATGGAGGCTGGGAAGGTTTATCTACAGCTTTTGGTGGAGAAAGGCGGGTTTCGAGGGTTGAGGGTTGGGCAGGGGTGTCCTTATCACGAAGCAAGCTCCTGGCTTTCTGGAAAACAGACGACATGGCGGAAACAGCTGAACCCAACTCAGCAGTCGATGGATGCCCACAATTGTGGCTGTCGAAGTGAAGATATGCAAACGAGCGTGGGCAAGCACTGGGGTAAGGTAAGGGTCTTTTGAGGTACCCACATGTTCCATCACATGATCATTGATGCCCTCGGTGATTCTATCCGCGGCTCACGGTATGAGTCACAAACTCTGTGAGAGACTCTAGCTCATGACTTTGAGCCGGGTGTTTATTTTGAGGCCGGAAAAGGATGCCGTCCTGGGAGGGATTGAGTGGCAAAAACTGTTGGCCTGTCGGGTGGTCCGATCTAGGAACTTCCGGCCTGCTAGTCTGCTAGTCGTCAGGCTCTCCTACGTAGGGCCCCGTGATGCTGATGCAGGCCTTTAGCAGCTTCTTTGCACTACAGATGTCGTCCTTTATGGTGTGTTTCCGTCACAGCAAACGAAAAGACCGCACCGAAAGTGCTGCATCTGCCCTCCTGAAGTTTCTCTCTGTCTCCAGATGACAACTAGCGTGGTTTCAGGTTGATCAACGCTGCCTCCGTTAGCAACCGCTCGTGAATTCGATGCCGAAGCGATGCCTCCGTGATGTGATGACGCAAGTGCCCTAATCGCCCAGGTGTCCCTTTGCCACCGTGTACCATAGTTTGACCGTGTATTTGTTGGTAATGTCAGAGCACGGATTCCCAGATCAGGGCACCCCCGTGAACGGAGCGGCATAGGGCCAAGGACCGATCCGAAGACCTGAAAGGATGTTCCGTGCGTAGAAATCCTCCTGACAGGCTGACGAGGCCGAGCGCCGGCGGAGTGCTGACCAGTCTTTCCTGCTGCTCGAGGTTGGCCGCGGGCTCTCCAGCCGGCGATTCAACATTGTGAAGCACACCCGTGCGGTTGTGCCGCATTCCAGCCAAGATGCTGCTGGTTTTGGCACCCTGTATGCAGTGGCAGTGGGACTTGCTGAGTCTTCCCTGCACTCCCGCAATTTTGGCTTGCCTGAGCCTGAAGCTTGAAGCGCACGGCCGCAGGTTGGATTTCAATATCATTCTCCTCTTGATGCCAGAGGCCGCACGGGTTGACCTAAGTCCGAAGGCAGCTGTGGGCACAGATCTTCAGTTGATAAGAGGGTGTGGAAACAACGTCGGAGCCCGCAGTGAGCGTGCAACAGCTGGACCTCGGAGGTGACAAGGATTCTTCTGTTGTTGACCTTTTGGTGCTTTGCCAGTTTGTATGTACGTCCACATCCCCGAAGAGTGCTGTCCAGCTTGGTTTGTGGATGTGCCGGCTTTGGTGGTCCTCACAACTTCATAGAGCTTCCAGAACCCGAGTTGAACGCTGTGATCATCTTTTGCGCCCCTACCACCTTCTGAGCGGTGGGCTTGAGAACCTTTCGACCCTGACCTAAACCCAGCCATCATGTCCTGTGCCATTGAGAGGAACGCAGCGGATGCGCCCTTGGGAAGGCAGCGGCCTCAGCGTGCTTGGGGAGTTTGGGGTTCAAGGCGTACGGGTTCGAAAGGCTTGTGTAGTTATGACAGTTATGTGAGATGCTCCACGATTCAAGGCTTCGGGCTTCCGAAGGAAGGCGTGCACGTCTTTTGCAACCGGCTCCCTTGCGTCACTGCGTTGGTGTCGAGTGTGGTTTGAGCATGACAGCATCACAGGTTCTTGTCCGGGGGGGGGGTTCTCCCCGACAGATTTGTTTCTTGTTCGTCGTCGTCGTCATCGTCCTCATCATCATCATTTTCAATTATCACCATCATCGTACGACTCTTCAGGTAAGTACTGCTTCAGACTGGGGGGGTTGTTGCACGTTTTCCTGCTGCCTCGTGCTGTCAAAAGAACCTGCATACAACTGATTGAAAGATCTCGGCAGACGGACGCCCGTCTCGCAAGTTCGCAGGAACGCAACATGTCCGACATCATGCTAGAATCTAGTGTGTTTGCTGATGTTTGCCGTCTCGTTCTTGTCGAACTTATAGTGCTCGGAGAGCCTTCAGCAGCATGCCTCAGAGGTTTACTCTGCTCCCTTGCCACACTCTCTCTCTCTCTCTTTCTCTCTCTCTCTCTCTCTCTCTCTCTCTCTCTCTCTCTCTCTCTACTCTTGCTTCAAAGGGTGTCTTTCTCGAGGCAGGCTGGGGATGCGCCCAACATCTTGCAACAGGGCTGTGCAGACAATCGCTGCTAAGGTCTTTCCAAGCGCCTCTTGTGCATCCACCTGCAGGCGCAGATTGTTTGGCAACAAGGCTGTCCTTGGCCCGAATTTACGGAGCACTGAGAGTCCGAGACGACCCTGCAGTAAGAATGTCGAGAGATTGCTCGTGTTTCATGGCCAGCGAAAGCCGATTCATCGCTCCTTTGTGCACCGACTGCAGTGAGCAACCAGAACCTGCCGTCTGACCAGCCCTCCGAGCTATTTCCAAACTTGATCCAATCCGCCGTGGTGTCGTCTCTGCACGCCCAATCAGACTGTACAGATCCGAAGCTCGGCAGACATGGGCTTCAACGAATGAAGATGAGCCCACGACCCGATGTAGGGGTTGGGTGCTCGACACGTCAGCAGCGTGCCTTCGAAGGCGCTCTCCCGGACTCCTTCTGCGGCGGTGGATGCCACGCAAGTGGGCGGCCAAGAGTTCAGTTGCCGACTCACTTGGACGGGTTGTGTTGTGGACACAACAGTCTGCAGGCCATGTCACGGTGTATCTCTTGCTTGGAGAGCGGCCCGATGCATGTCGTGAGGCCCTCAGCTTGCGGGCTGTTTGGTGCGGCTTCAGAAACGCGAGGGAGCGCAGCAGGACTGTTTCGAGGTGTTCGTGTTCCAAGAGCCGTTTTGTTCAAAGCTAAGTTGCTCCGGGACGTGAGACGACGCGCCCAGTTGTCTTCTGCTTTTAGCCCCCATTTAACGGCGATGTATTGAATCTCTATACTACAAAACCATTCACAATGCTTGATGCATGGACAAACTTCTTTCCATTAGAGCAGCAAAAGCGCAAGAAGCAAAGACTGCAGCAGCAGCCCCAGGATCCTACTATTTGGGTACTATATTGGGATCCCCTATTTCCGGAAGCTCCCAAATGTGGGCCCTTTTCTAGAGCAGGTTCGGGCTGCTGCTGGGCAGGCCCCGTAAGGGGTAGCTTAGGAAAGAATGAAAATATCAGTGCTTCCTTTGAAAAGGCCTTCAATAAGAAAGCCTAGCTTTCTGAAGGGCCTCAGCTTTTGGAAAAACTTGGCTCCGGGAAGCAGCCTCTGCCTCTGCTGAAAAGAGAGCGACTTGGATAGAAGCTGCAGATCCAGAAATCTTGTAGCCCCAATATATTTGTTTCTAAACGTGATGCCTTTTTTTCCGAGACGAAATCCAGGCGCAATTTAAAGTAGTCTTTCAGACCCAAACCGGGCCCAAAAACAATTCTTCAATTGTGTGGCATTTTGTAAATCAGATCCTCGATCAAATGTTATCTTCTTTGCTCATGGTGTTGGCTCTCGAATCCGCCACAACTGTGCTGGGAACACGGGGTCTGTCTGGGAACCTCTGCATGCCCCTGCCGCGGTCGTGGCGATTTTTGACCGCATACGGAAGCACAGGCTGCAGAAACAGTTGTTGATTTACACTTTACACGGCAGCCGGCCCCTTAATTCGGGGAGACATCAGTCATGAGCATGTCCGGGGTCCGGGCCAGTCATTCCAGCCACTCTGCTGAAATGGGATGTGTTTGATTACTTCAGCTATTGCCTTCTTTTGATGAGGATGATGATGAGTACCGCCGTAGTGTTGATCGCAAGTCTCCCAGTGATGGGGCTATTGCATAGCGGCTATTGTCACGTTGTCAGCTGTGCAACGTTTTGCAGAGAGTGACACTACGCCGTATTCAGAGTGCCATTCTTGGCCCAAGGGGAAAACGTGCTCCACTTGTCTCAGTCCCTTCTCTCACCAGTAGCTGCGAGATGCCGTCGCAAGAAACGCAGCTGGAGGTGATCAACAAGACTTCCCAAGACTTGACGATCACCGTGTCCGAGACAGAGGACAGCGATTGGGATGGCGAGAGCCGACCGGACAACAACTTCCACGACTCCGTAATCCCAGCCGGAGCCAGCCAGAAGAAGCGCGCAGAGGTCAATAGTTGTTGCATGAGCTCGTGGTTCAAGATGCACATCCAGGTTTCAAGCGGAGATGAGGTCTTCTTCCGTGCCGACCAGCAAAATGCCATACTTGACATAGCACGCCTGCTCGAGCTGGGGGGACCTCACAAGTCGAAATATTGTTTGTCGCAAGCCTGTTTTATTGACCGTGAGCGAAAGTACACCAACAGTTTCTGCCTCTTCGAGCAGAAGCAAAACACCTCTCGGTGGATGGCCGGTGTTTCGAACCATCGCAAGCTGACCGACATGAGCATCCCCGGGAGCCACGACTCTTGCGCCTGGGCAGAGAAGATCGCACGTGGGGCTAGAACGCAGACACTCGACCCCAAGAGTCAGTTGGAAGCTGGCGTGCGCTACTTTGACATCCGTTGTCGCCACTTCAAAGACACTTTCCTCATGCACCACGGAATGGTTTACCTCGACAGGAGGTTTGATGAAGTCTTGACAGAGTTACAGCATTTCTTGCGACAGAATCCCACGGAGACCATCCTGATGTCTGTCAAAGAGGAATACAAGGCGAAGGACAACTCGCGCTCTTTTGAGGACACGTTCAAGAAGTACCTCGACGATTTTTGCGACTTGTTTCACACTGGGACGACAATCCCTTCTCTGGGGGAGGTTCGGGGGAAGATAGTGCTCCTTCGCCGTTTCCATGGCGGTGATTGCGGCATCGATCTCTCAGAGTGGTGTGATCCAAGCAGAGACAATGCCGAGTTCTCACACATCAACCAGGACGGAGTGGAATTCGGTGTCCAGGACTACTACAAGGTGGACGAAATAGGGAACAACAAGGTGCGCCAGGTTGAAGAAGCAATGGAGAAAGCAGCCACACAAAGTCCTCACAAGTTGTGGATCAACTTCAGCAGTGGTACCAACTTTCCGAATGAAGTCCCCCTCGATTTCGCTTCCAAGGTCAACCCGAGGATACTCCATATCTTGCAGGGCAAACCTGCAGGTGCTAGACTTGGAATCTTGGTCATGGACAATATTGACCCTTGCTTCACCGAGCATCTCATCCGCACAAACACTTTCGTAAGCTGCAGGTGGTGATTTGCAGGCTTGTGCCCTGTGCACCGCCTCAAAAGCAGTGTGGCTTGTCGAAACGCGTCTTGTGAATACCCACCGAATTTTTTGTCGGCGAGTCGCGCCCTACGTGCGGCAGCTGAAGTCATGCACGCCATGCACCTCCCCACGCCTCATACCCCTACGGATGTACCGGCGGCGGGTTGAAAGAATCCGGCCGAGCTGTCCGGTGATGCAGACCGTGCAGCGGATGAAGCAACTACAGTAAATACACGTGATCATCTGGAACTTTGAGGTCTTTGCAGCAGGCCACCGGGCTTCGCCTGGCCTGGCACGGCAGCTCTGCTCTCAAGGATGCAAATGCGGTATGGCACGGTATGGCACGGTGCAGTCATGCCGCCAGAATGTCTCTGTTTTGGTGTCATCTTAGCTCAGTAGTTGTCCCAACACGATGCTCCCAAGCCCAGTTCCCAAGAAGCCACGAACCCCGAAACTCGTACCAGGAGCTGGTGGTGCCATGCTGCGAGGTTCGCAGTTGCCTCGCTCTTGTTTCATCTTGAGTTCGGTACATCGCGGGCTTTAGGCCAAAAATCCCGTAAGGTTCAGAGGAGATCCCTCGAAGAGGCATGACGAGTACCAACAGGACCATTCTTCTGCCATGGCAGGGCTTTGCTCTTTGGGCAGCCCATCACTGCATCTAACTTCCAGGGTTCGGGGCGCGAGACCTGGCTCTGGGCGTTGCTGTCGTCGAGGCGATTTGTGAGGGACACATTGGCGCCAGGTTCTTGTCATAGCTACGTATCATCTTATCGTTTCCCGCAGGTGGAGAGTTTCCGCAAGTCACCCGTAGTGAGCTTGCAATAGCTGGACCTCGGAGGTGACAAGGATTCTTCTGTTGTTGACCTTTTGGTGCTTTGCCAGTTTGTATGTACGTCCACATCCCCGAAGAGTGCTGTCCAGCTTGGTTTGTGGATGTGCCGGCTTTGGTGGTCCTCACAACTTCATAGAGCTTCCAGAACCCGAGTTGAACGCTGTGATCATCTTTTGCGCCCCTACCACCTTCTGAGCGGTGGGCTTGAAAACCTTTCGACCCTGACCTAAACCCAGCCATCATGTCCTGTGCCATTGAGAGGAACGCAGCGGATGCGCCCTTGGGAAGGCAGCGGCCTCAGCGTGCTTGGGGAGTTTGGGGTTCAAGGCGTACGGGTTCGAAAGGCTTGTGTAGTTATGACAGTTATGTGAGATGCTCCACGATTCAAGGCTTCGGGCTTCCGAAGGAAGGCGTGCACGTCTTTTGCAACCGGCTCCCTTGCGTCACTGCGTTGGTGTCGAGTGTGGTTTGAGCATGACAGCATCACAGGTTCTTGTCCGGGGGGGGGGTTCTCCCCGACAGATTTGTTTCTTGTTCGTCGTCGTCGTCATCGTCCTCATCATCATCATTTTCAATTATCACCATCATCGTACGGCTCTTAGGTACGTACTGCTTCAGACTCGGGGGTTGTTGCACGTTTTCCTGCTTCTCGTGCTGTCAAAAGAACCTGCATACAACTGATTGAAAGATCTCGGCAGACGGACGCCAGTCTCGCAAGTTCGCAGGAACGCAACATGTCCGACACCATGCTAGAATCTAGCGTGTTTGCTGATGTTTGCCGTCTCGTTCTTGTCGAACTTATAGTGCTCGGAGAGCCTTCAGCAGCATGCCTCCGAGGTTTACTCTGCTCCCTTGCCACACACTCTCTCTCTCTCTCTCTCTCTCTCTCTCTCTCTCTCCTCTTGCTTCAAAGGGTGTCTTTCTCGAGGCAGGCTGGGGATGCGCCCAACAAGCTTGCAACAGGGCTGTGCAGACAATCGCTGTTAAGGTCTTTCCAAGCGCCTCTTGTGCGTCCACCTTCAGGCGCAGATTGTTTGGCAACAAGGCTGTCCTTGGCCCGAATTTTACGGAGCACTGAGAGTCCGAGACGGCCCTGCAGTAAGAATGTGGAGAGATTGCTCGTGTTTCATGGCCAGCGAAAGCCGATTCATCGCTCCTTTGTGCACCGACTGCAGGTGAGCAACAGAACCTGCCGTCTGACCAGCCCTCCGAGCTATTTCCAAACTTGATCCAATCCGCCGTGGTGTCGTCTCTGCACACCCAATCAGACTGTACAGATCCGAACATGGGCTTCAACGGATGAAGATGATCCCACGGCCCGGTGTAGGGGTTGGGTGCTCGACACGTCAGCGGCCTGCCTTCGAAGGCGCTCTCCCGAGCTCCTTCTGCGGCGGTGGACGCCCCGCAAGTGGGCGGCCAAGAGTTCAGTTGCCGACTCACCTGGACGGGTTGTGTTGTGGACACAACTGTAACAGTCTGCAGGCCAGGGCCTGCCGGGCCATGTCACGGTGTATCTCTTGCTTGGAGAGCGGCCCGATGCATGTCGTGAGGCCCTCAGCTTGCGGGCTGTTTGGTGCGGCTTCAGAAACGCGAGGGAGCGCAGCAGGACTGTTTCGAGGTGTTCGTGTTCCAAGAGCCGTTTTGTTCAAAGCTAAGTTGCCCCGCAAGTGGGCGGCCAAGAGTTCAGGCATGCTGGCAAGTCGCAAGCACGCGCACCCGTCCAGCACAGTTTGGCTCAAGGCGAGTCACTGTGCAGCTCCTTTCCGTGCCGAGACGCTTTCTGGGTGGGGTCACCTGTGCGATTGAACCTTCAAAGCTGAGCCTTGAAATCTTCTTACAGCATCTCGTTCTCAATCGGAACGACCGCACCCTGCTGGTGCTTTGCAAGCCGGTGCCCTCTGCACCGCCTGTAAAGCAATGCGGCTTGTCGAAACAGTCGCGCCACTTTTGGTTGGCTGGCCCGGTCGCGCCCTACGTGCCGCGGCTGAAGCCATGCCACGCCATGCGCCGCCCGATGCCTCGCACCCCTACGGACTGGCGGCGGGTCGAAAAAGTCCTGCCGAGCTGTCACCTCCCCTGGCACGCACGAGTGCCAGCTGCTCGTCATTTCCGATTTATCTTAGTGGTTCGTTTTGTTTAGGCGGAGAGTTTCCGGCATGTCAAGCGACTTATTGCTGTCCTGTGTTCTCCCGATTCATGGCTTGGCATTGGCGCCAAGTACATTGGGCAGAGACTTAGTAGTATGTCGCCCCAGTGGCCTTTGACTTTGATTTGCACTGCCAAGCCTTGACCCCCCTTTGGCTCATCAGAGAACAATTCTGCGCTCAGATATCCCCAGCGAACGCCATGCCGGATTTCGAAGAGCAGGCGAAGAAAACGAGGAGATCGATGAAGATGGCGACAAGTAAGGAGGACGTCAAGGGTGCGCTCGACGAACTCCAGCAGTCCCCCTGTTATGAGCGGGTCAAAGCCATTGGCGGTGCCGTTGCCAAAGAGCTTCAGCATCTCTTCGAAGAAGCTACGAAGTTGCTCCGTAAAGCAGGAGACTTTGCTGAACAGTTGAAGCGCTTGCTGGAATTGTTGGAGCAAATCCTCCAGTTCATCGACAAGCAGACAAATCAACAGGCGGGGTCAGTCGGCTTCAGTAAATGTTTCTGACTATGTGGATCTCTGAACTTGTTCATCGAGCTGCTGGTGTAACTCTACCTGCAACACACAACGTCTCATCCGCGTGACGATCAACTTGCACTTAGATCCTTCTATTGGCCCTTTTGCGGCAAGAACTGGCATGATAAACAAAGACGTTACTCAGGGAAGTCGTTTGTATGCTGCTACGCACTTTCAGCACGTGTCCCTTATCCGGACGAGGCTGGGACACAACCTGAATCGAACTAACATTTGCCTTGCATTTGTGTTCCTGCATTTCTTTTTGGCAGCCTGTTCTCCAATCTCGCAGCTCTCAGAAGAAGTCTTTGCCTAGTTCGTGCCTGACCCTGCCTGACAAGGCGCAGAAGCAGAAGTGACGTCGCCAAGAGCGCCCGCCTGGAGTGGCCCTACTGCCACTACCATTGGGGGTGTTCTCTACCATCATTTGTAGGCCTCTACTATGACAGAAACCCTGGCGACTCCGTGCCGGCAACGGGGCTTACAACAGAAACTGTAGCGGAACGTAGTGGAGCTGTAACGGACCTGCAGCGGAGCTGTAACGGACCTGCAGCGGAGCTGTAACGGAAGCTGTAACGGAGCTGCAGCGGAGCTGTAGCAGAAGCTGTAACGGAGCTGTAGCGGACCTGCAACGGAGCTGTAACGGACCTGCAACGGAGCTGTAACGGAAGCTGTAACGGAGCTGTAGCAGAAGCTGTAGCGGAGCTGTAACAGACCTGCTACGGAGCTGTAACGGACCTGCAACGGAGCTGTAACGGAAGCTGTAACGGAGCGGTAACTGAGGGCCCAGGGTGGGTAGCGCAAATCCCATACTAAATGATGGTAGAGAACACCCCCAACACTACCATGCGCCCAGCCAGGCTGCACTGTGTGCCGCAGTTTGCATGCGATCGTAAAGTACCAAAACTACGCCCCATTCAGCCCAGCTTTGCTGCATCAGTTGCAACGTGGTGAAGGACGTGTGCTGTTCTCTGCGTCCAATACCAGTTTGGCTGAAGTTCCGTAGGAAAGTCTTGGAGTGGCCCTACTGCCACTGCCACGTAACCAGCTTCCCAAGCCAAGCTGCACTACTGCAGTTTGGATGGCCTCACCTTTTACAACGCGCCTTGCTCGCAGAGCATCGCCGGGGTGCGATCACCTGCGAGTCGTCAGAACCTTCATTGACAGCTGAGCATTGAGATCTTCTTGCAGCATGTCGTTCTCAATCGGGACGACCGCACCCTGCTGGTGCTTTGCAAGGCGGTGCCCTAAGCGCCGCCTGACAGGCAATGCGGCTTGTCGAAACAGTCGCGCCGGTTTGGGTTGGCTGGCCCGGTCGCGCCCTACGTGTGAAGCCATGCCACGCCATGCGCCGCCCGATGCCTAGCACCCCTACGGACTGGCGGCGGGTCGAAAAAGTCCTGCCGAGCTCTCCGGTGAGACAGACGCTGAGCTTACGCGGAAGGAGCGCGCTAAGACTCATAATCAGTGCATGATCACCTGCAGCTTCGAGGCCTTCGCTCGACGTGGTTCCGGGCGCAGCCGTCGAGGCGAGCTGCAGGCAACGAATGGGTGGCAATTGCTTGTCATTGCCAATTCGTCGTGCTGCTCTCCCGCCGTATCCGGCAACCAAGCCGACCGTGTTCCGTCTTTCGTGATTCATTGTGGTGTTCTGCCGATTCATAGCTTGGCATTGGTTGTCGCTGTAATTGCCCGAGAACTCTGGGACTGCGCAGTGGCTGGTGCCGTGGCTGGTTCTGGATGCTTCTGGCATCTCCTGTGAAGCTAGCTCAAGGCTGTCCTGCTCTTTGTCCTTCACAATTCGGGCTGGTGGAGGATTCCATGGCCTATGCTCGGAGGTTTGCGACCACAGTGCTTGGTTTTCGATCAGACGTGCCTAGGCGGATTGTTTTGCTGTCTTTTGGGCTTGGGCGGTGGGCTGTGGTCTTGTCTTACCACGATGATGTCCATGTTCCCAGCGCAACCATAACCCGCGAATCCGGTGAATGGGGAATAACACAGGGTAAATATGGTCGCCATGACTGGAACATTGCTTGATGAGATGGCTTCAGTGGTATTGAAGCTGAAAGCCGGATGTATGACTTGGTGCAGTCAGTTATGATACGACATGTTCTGTGCCACGATCGAAGGTACTTGTGAGGCTTTTTAGATGACAGGCTCCCCACCAAGAAGCGTGTCCATGGGTGTCCAAAATTCGTGTTTGTTACACAACCAATGTCTCCACTAGACAGATAGCCGCCGCCGCCAGTCCGGGCGCAAGCTTGCATATGGATGGCGTTCAACATGCTCAAGATATGAGCAGCACGATGAGTCGAAACCTGGCACATACTGGCACTTGATTTGCTTCCATGCTGCTGGCGTTGCCACAGAGTATGACTTGCTGGCTCTTCCCTGCAATGCTCCAATCTTCGTTTGGATTCCGCAACTCGGATCAGAGCCTGCAGCTTGGACCTGAGATCCAACATCTCAGCCCATATGTATATATATATATATATATATCCACAAGTCGCACATCGCTTATAGACCTCCTCACAAACCCGGAACTGCATGCCACGCAAGCCAACGCGCAGTTTCTGGGAAGCGTGACCGCAGGTTGGATTTCAACATCTTGCCTTGATGCCTCGCACACCCAAAGGGTGCTGTCAAGGTAGGTTTAGTGATCGGCCTGCTTTGGTGGTCTTCATATTTCAGCGGACTCGCATTCCACACCCCCTGATGATGCGATCATCTGTGGTGCCGCAACCTTCTTCTAAACGGCACTTGTCCCCAAGTTTCGAAACCTTTCGACCCTGACCTAAAGCCAGCCGTCCCGTTCTGTCGCATGAAGAGGAACGCAGCAGAGTGCCCTTCCGACGGCAGCGGCCTGAGACGGAGTGGCGCATTTGTGGAATTTGGAAGTGCAATTTTTGTAAGGAAACTCTAGGTCTGTGCGATGTTTTTAGGGTGTCGGGATTGTGGTGCAAGGTGGTCACCATCAGCAGTCGTCGTTCAGTGGCTAGTAACTTGGTTCGAGCAGCCTGCAGCCCAAGTGCAAATTGGACTGTAACAGCTGAATATTGAAGTCGAAGTAAAGCACCTTCAAATGTAAGCATCCTTTGCAGGTCTGTCTGAAGAGCCATGTCGTCTCACCACTTCGTGTCGAAGAGGCCTTGCACGAATCACGGGGTGGTTCGTGGGCACCTCTTGGTTCCTCTGTTGCTGGGTGCTCCGCCGTCCAGCAAGTAGCCTCGACATGCCTCAGCCCCAGACTCGAAATCCGAATCGCCTTGGCATATCGGCCTCCTGCGAGTTGCGAGGTCTTAATGCCCTCAAGCCCCGAAACCTAACATACTGGACCCGAAGACGAGTCTGGTTCTCCCACAGGGGGGCCTCGTGGTGAGCTTGCGTGCACGGCGGCTGCCGCCGAGGACTGCTTGCAGCGCCATGCCGCACCGTACTTTTCAGAAGCTTGCCACAGAAACCTGCACCCGCGCGCTTGTCGTCGAATGTGCCCTCCGCACTGTCTTCGTGCGGCAGATTCTGGCTCGAAGGCGCGACGCTACGAGTGGGCTCTGGACAAAAGGATCCTTCCCGCACGGGCCATGGCCATGGCCCCGATCCCGTGTGTCGTGACAGGCAAGCCTTGCCAGCCCTTGTCGGAGTCGAAGGAGTGGAACAAAGGTTTGACGAAATACGAGCAGAGCGCCGCAGCCGATTACAAGAAGTTCTCCAGGGCAGTCGGCGGAAGGTCCGACGGCTTCACACTCGAGGATCACTCGAGGGCTCCCTCAGCAGCTTGCTGCCGAGCCGCGGGACCCTCAGGCCCGGGGGGTGTCTATGCCCCCTTCATGAACAACCGCACGGATTCTCATTCATGGCCGAGAATCAAGTTGAATTGATTCTCCAGTCAGTTGGGATTGTGAAAGAAAATGGGTTTGTCACGGAGCCCAGAATACTTGTGGAACAGGCAGTGAACACATTTCACCTCATGAACTACTTCAATAAGATTGTCGTCCGTCAACAACTCGGCAAGGGCCTCACAGCATGTTACAGAAGTGCGTCTGGAAGGCTCCGCAAACTCGATGACACCGACCGGAGTTTGGAATCTTTCCGGTCAGATGCCCTGAAGCTCTGTCGAAACAGCTCTGTGCTGAACTTCCACATCATGCTCCGGCGGGACAACACAAGATTGACACTGTGGGCTCCTGGCCAGGGGCAGCTGCTGAGCCGTCCGGTGTCGCCCGAAGAGCTGACCATGACGTTCATCGGTGAATGGCAAACCGACGAGAACATCGGCAGTGTTCAGTACTTCAAGAATCTTGTGGGGTATTCGGTCCCGCTCTCCGAAGCTTCGATGTTGGAGTTCAAGCAAGTATCCTTTGAATCATCCAGCTCAGATTTGGACATCGAGTTCCAGCTTTTCTGTCCAAGTGGACGGTTGAAGCTTCATGTATCGAACGGAACTGTCTTAGGCCCGTTCGATTGTCCCAACACCACTTTCGCCGGCATCCGCCAAACTGTCGAGGATAAAGCTTTGCAGGAACTGCGATTGCAGCCCCAAGACTACAGCTGTTTGACCTCGAAAGGTTCGTTGATTATGCCCAGCCTTTAGCAGAAAACAATGCAGATTGGTCTGGCAGCAACGTCCTGGACTACACGGTGATCCTGACGATCTAGGCTGCTTCGACCTGGCCAGGAACCAGCTGCTGCACCCTGCGTGTAGCTGCCGTGACTCTTGCAAGTGGTCTTGTGCCCTACGCGCAGCCCTTGCTGATTTTTTGCAGACCTTACGTCTGCCGGTAAGATAGTCAGAAACAGGCATGCACAGATGTGTCGAGACGGACGGAATGGCACTTGCACTGTCCTTCCTGTCGCATGAAGAGCCAGTTGGTCGACCACCGAAGCTACACAGGCGATATGACATGAAATTTCTATGATTTTCATCCTCTACTCATGTGGGAACGCGTTGCCAGGTGCATTTGCTCTGGCAGAACTCCGCTGTCGCGCAACACCTACGCATTTGTTCACTTGCTTTATCTTGCTTTCCTGCAGCCCCGACTGGATTGTCTTTGCCCTGTTGTTGTGTAGCACACACTTGTTTGTGCGAAGTGACAACTTCATATCTCACCTAAACACCGAATCGGTCAGGGGATTGACTCACCGATTCATTTCGAATGATTGTATACTCCGTGGCCATTTTGGCGAAAGCTGTTACAGCTTGAGCGAAATTTGTTTCAGTCCCCTCGGATCACTCCTCGGTCATAGCCGCCCTTGGCGGCCAGTTCTTCGAGTTCTTTTACGACCGCTGCTGGCGGCCAGTACTTCGAGCACTACGGCTTCTCTGTCAGTTGTTGACAGTCTGAAGGAATCGCTCGAAGAATTTAGTCGCGAACAAGTTCTCGAAGATTTTCAGATCGAGAAACCCGAGGATGTGACTTGGGGTGCATGGAACAGGAGACAATCACGACAAATACGAAAGGCCATCGATCAGATTTCGCATTGTCGTACTGGTGACGACATAGTGAACTTGGCGGTGACCCTGCTGAAGCCGCCCAATCTCGAGGCCTTTCTCTACCTGCACATTACTAACCGTGAGGACTCCGAGGAGCCGTTGACGGTTCCCTTCGAGGTCGTCGAGGCTTCTCTACATCCCGAAGCCGATCATGTACCTCTTCCCGCGGACATCGATGCTGCTCTTCTTGTGCATGAGACCGAATTGCATAATCAGCATTTGGCACACATTTTTCGTGATGATTTCGGCATGGAACTACATACACCCGAACCCGCTGCCTCTCCAGCTCGAAAACGGAACTTCGAAGGGCATCTTAAGCCTACTACTTCGACTATCATCGATTTGGAGTAGTTACCTCGTAGCCATGGCACAACCACGAGTCGATTCCTGGTTTGAGTTCCTTTGCGAGGGATCTACGGTCGAGATCACCGCGGCAGTGCCGGACTCGATGTTGCACGAGTTCCCGACCCAAATCCGCGATGAAGCCCGAGTACCTGTCTCCTCTTTGAAACGGAAGATATGTCCCCGAATCCTCGAGTCTAAAAACTGCAACATGATGAACTGTGTGCATCTTCACCCCGACTTCCTCAACAAGGTTTGGGTGGTGCCCAACCTGATTTGCCATAAATGGTTCCAGGGCTGCTGCGACTTCGGCGACCATTGTTGGAATCAGCATGGGATCACCTTCGATGCCGCGATGCGCAGAGCCTTCACGATACAGCGACAACTACGCCGAGATGAACCCCCATTTCACTACTCTTCTCGGGGAGGATTCATCGAGCAGGTCAACCGAGAACAAGCTCGCGAGTGGATCATGGAGTCCATGGCAACTTTCCGCCACACCGAGATGCGCAAATTCAACTTCGGGACTAACTTCACCAAGTACTACGACTTTGAGTCCTGGACTAACTCGGCGGCAGCTGAACGACTTCGAGATGACATTGCCGAAGGTCGCACCCCTCGCGGACGGTCTCCCCGACGAGCCAGAGAGGACTCCAGACCTCCAGCTACTTGGGGACAGCCGGCGACTCCACGCCGAGGCACAATATTCCCTGTACAGGAATCTCGATTCCCACCGGCTGCGACACCATCGACAGCTCCAACGATGGCGACTCCCTCAGCAGCTCCTTCGACTTCATCGACGACACCGCCACCACGCCGGCCTTTCTTCCAGCTGGGCACGGACACAGACTCCGACGCCCCGAGCTTCGGTCGAGGCCCCCGGACTGCCTTCCGCCCCGGCGATGGAGCAGCGACGGGGTCACAACGACCATTGTCGCCGGCTAGGTTTCCGCGCAGATCACCTTCACCGGCTAAGAGGTGGCTCGAGACAACACCGGTCATCGTCGAGGTTCAGGACGAGATCGCGGCTTCGACACCGGCCCCGACTATGCCTACTCCGACACGGAGACCTCGACCTCAGTCTCATGACCCGTGGCACGATGACGACGACCTCACAGAGCCCCCTACACCTCCGACTACGGCGACTCCGAGTGTTCCAGTGGTGCAGCCGGTCACCCCGCCCACAGTGACGGCGACGAATCCCGACTCCGAGTGGATTATATAACCCATCGTTCGGTACGACGACTACCGCGACCATTGTAGGAGCCAAGACGAAGGCTATGCCCAAGCAACCACTACCACATCCAGACGCCGGCAACCCGACTGGATCTGGGGGAACTCCGAGGTTTTCAGTACATCCTGCAGTGGACCTGTCCGGGACAGACCCGAGACAGCCGTTTGTGAACACTTCGGCACAGTCCGGAGACGTGGCCTCGTCGATGATCTCGACACCTTTGCGCAGTCCTTACACGAGTGTTCCAGCTTCGCTGCAGCCACAACAACCACGACAATCTCGGCTCGAAAGATTCCGAGTGCAGTGGCTCGACTCTCAGGTTGTCGAAAAGGGCAGGACATCACTCGACGAAGTTCGAGCAAACCCGACGACCACACACGAGCCCGTCTTTGGTTTTCAGACCTTACGACACTTCGATAACTTCCCGATGTTGTCCCCGAACCTTCAGGCGATGACTCCGGTGGGTGGCCACAATGTCGCGATGCTGCCACCTGGCAACCACCCGTACTCCTCGTTTGCCTTCGACTCACCTTGGCAAATCACGTACGACGGCATCTTATATCTCGAACAGATCCTTCGATGCCCCACAGTCGGCAGCTACCTGACCCACTTCGGATTGTACCTCGATCTCCCGATCCACACACCGCAAGACGACACCCTCCAGGAGAGGGTCCTGATTTTGGGAGTCCCGAACAACTTCGTGGATCCTCGGACGACTCTCACATACGCGACGGTGTGGCACAATATGATGGCTTCTCTGGCAGACCTCAGCCATACTTCCGTCGAGGATCGCATGAACAGACTGCGAATTTAGTGCCATACGGCCTACAACCTCAACGAATTCGCGGGACAGATGCCTTACTTCGAGCCAATGACGACCTTTTTCCGCGAGCAGGCCTCGGCGATCATCTCATGCACTTCGAACATGCTTTCTCCGGCATTGCGGAGCTCCTTCGCTCAACACGAGAGGATGCGGCCCATCATTGCCGCTGAGCCTCCGCCATTCATTCTCCGATTTCGGGAAGCCACCCGAGCCTTTAATTAAGGCCTCACCGAGATCTTGTTTTACATAGTCACCCCGTTTCCGCCTCGGCGATGTACGGGAGTTTCTAGTGTCACACGAAACTGGCAATGGAGTGACTTCCGCCTCGGCGACGTGTCACTCCTAGCCACTCGGAACGATCCCGAATCCTCTTGCCCTGCATGACGACAAAGACCCCTTTGCAACGAGTTGTTTGGACTGCTGCTGCGGTTGCTTATCAGGCTCTACTAGTTGTAGTGGGGCCTGCTCTCTCCTTGGAGATTGCTTGGCTTCCGTAGACCTCGATCTCTCAAGCAAGACTTGTGTCCCCCCGAACATCCCGACCCACCCGACGCGATGGCAAGCCACCGTCAGACCCCGATGAATTCGGACCCGATTGAACAGTTCCCCGAGTCTTCGGCGACAGTACCCGATCCCATCGAGCAGTTCTCCCAGACACCCGGGAGTAGCTCTGGGGCAGTTCTGCCGGCCGCGCGATACTTGGAGGGTGTCGACCCCGACACGGATGCGGGCCGGGCACTTAAGATGCAACGAAGACACAAGGAGCCCTCGAAATTATCGCCTTTAAGCGTGCTTCTGAGCTGTCGGCGATGTCATCCCTACGTCGACAGTTTCCTAATTCCTCTGACGCCGAGTTAGCCATGATCTGGCGCCGACAATTGACCGGCGAGGAAGTCGACGAGAACGGATTGCCCGTCGAACTCATTGGACGCGATGGGAAATCCGTCGAAGACCACCACCGAACGGACGTCGATCGTGTGCAGAAGTACCTCAAGTACTTCACCACCCCGGGCACCGAAAAGATCCACGACGGCTCCCTCGATTGCACTTTCTGTGGTCTTCTCTTTCCGCCGTACTACTTGCTCTCGGTTAACCCCGGCGGCGAAGACGATTGGCGCAATGTCCACTACAGATGTTGCTACCAGTGTGCGACTGGGGCCAACGAGGACTTCGTGTGGTACGCAGAGCACTCCGATCTGTCCCCTGCTAAAGTTGGAGTACGCGGCAATCTCCGAAATAGTCCCTACAACCAGACGGATCGTCGAAACCTCTATGACCGCGATGATGACCCCGAGACGAAGCCTCCGGGGTGGCACATCGCCATCGAAAGAACGCACAATTTCTACTGCAAGGTGTTCTTCGACAACTACTGGGATACCTCGAAATGCATGGGTTCGGAAGCCGACCTTCGTCCGCAAGAACTCGACCCGCTGTGACACGATCGGCATCCCCGACTGGTACTCCATATGCCAAAAGGTGAACTCCGTCCGAAAGCAGATTACCCAGGAAACTGCGAGACAGCGGAGTGCTGCGTGGAAGCAAATGTGCGAAGACATCGAGCGCGAGCGACCAGGTGACTCGAAGTCCAATGTTCGCCGAGAAGTTCGAGCGAGGATCCTTCGTCTCACCGACATTTTCGTCGCAGACCTCGCCAAGCTCGACAAGTCGCAGAAACAACGAGTGTTCCAGGCCTTCGCACAATGGGAGGTCACGACGATTGCCCGAGCCATCGACCCACACTGGGATGCCGACGAGTTTTGGAACATGATCAGCAGCGAGGCACCCCTCACCGATTGGCTGTTTAAAGTCTCCGACAGCATCGATCAACACTTCGTCTGTCGGTCGAAGGAGTGCACTTCGGTGATACACAATCACCACTGGCTCCGACAGATTTCGTGGGATTACTCGATTGCCTCGCAGCACGGCCGATACTCTTGCCCGAGGTGTCTGACCGCGTACAGACCCTGGGCACTCCGAAACAATGCGGCATCTACGAATGCTCCGACTTTTGTACCTGCCCAAAAGGCACTGATCATCAACGGCGATGGTACAACGCTGGACTTCGATGCCTCGACACCTTCCCCGACAGGCCAGCGACTCACTTCGGATGGGGGCGACTACATGTTGTACCTCATGGAGTGGGAAAAGAAGGACGACGACGCCTTAGTCGGCAAGCTCAAACAGATCATGAGCGGGATCCGCAAAGACCTCGGGGACGGCGACATCCGCGACAAGCTCACCGGTGCCCTGCGAGACGAACAGATGAAGCACCAGAAGCTCGCATACTTCGAGTCGGTGTCCTGGACGGGTCCTCGAGATCTTCAACCGCAACTCGACGACCACGAAGTATCGGGCAGACCTACTCCCCACGGCAACGCACCCGTCCAAGCCTTTCGACGAGACCTTGAATACCAAGGCTCACTTCGACTCCTATGACATGGCGGCCTGTCTCGCAGATCCTCCTACCTACCAGTTCGCGACCTACCAATACGACGAGGAGGACACGATCATCATGACACAGGACGATTTCCTGCGATTCATGACTTTGGCCTATACCCGACTGCGCTTGGGACAGTACACGGTCGGCGATTTCTCCTTCACTCAGATCGACACCGATCACCTGGAGTTGTTGAAGGGACGCCGCCGAGATGCTCAGGCGAGCACCTGATCTCCCTCTACACCCCCCGAGGGGACACAGACACTATTCCGCCACGGCGATGTTAGTGTTCTGACACCCGCGATCGGGAGCCACGGAGCGGAACTCCGATTTCTTTGCACCGACATCGGTGCCATTACGACATCCCGTCTTCTTCGGTATCGCTTTCCGCCTCGGCGACGTGCGACTCCGGAAGGGACGCGGCTCTGTCAGTTCGATAGACATCTCGACTCCGGCTGGAAACTCGGGCACCGACTCGAGAACCCCCCGACAAAAGAGAGCGCCACGAGTCCCGAGTGACATTTGAATGCCCATTCCGTTTGGTTCGTGGCAATGAGATCACTTGATCCACAGTTCGGTGGACTCTCTGGCCCGAATCTGTAGAGACGTAGGTGCCTGAACCCGAACATGGCCTCAGTTCCCCCATGTCCTTCGCCGATGTCCTGGCACTACTGCGGGCACATGACCTCACGTCGTTAGCGCCCGAATTGGCCAAACGAGGGCTCACAACCCCCGACAAACTCCGAGGAACATCTGAGAATGTCCTCGTGGAGATTTCCCCGAGTCGACTGGACCTAGATCGACTTCTTTCGGCCCTAGACCGCAGACCGATGCCACGCAAAGTCGTGCCGGTGCGGAGACGCGATCTGCCTCGAAGCAATCCTTCTACCCGAGGCTCACTAGCTAAAGCACTCGAAGCAGCCAAACCCGAATCACGAAAACAGTCCTTGGAGGATCTTCAGATCAATACTTACGCGATGACCACACAGAAATCTCGAGATTCCAGGTGGAAGTTGTGGACTACCCTAGCCGATGCTTGGGACCTCGATGCATTACCACTATCAGTGAGACTGGTCAACGCGATCGGAGCGAGCCTTCGATCCGGGGGGTACAAGTCAGCGAAGCAGATCTTCAGCCAAGCACGACAAGAACACGTTGCACAGACTCTGACATCGGTACCACCCGAAGTGTGCCTCAAGATGCAACAGGTCGAGAGAGCCGTCGAGCGAGGACGCGGCCCAGCCAAACTGAAGGACTCCTTTGTCGTCGAGGACATCGCACGACTACGTGCACAGCCCGAACGAGACGACTTCGACGGTCCCCATCCATGGGCACGACGCCTACGACGCCGAGTGGACATGGTCATCATCTGCTGCTGGTGGCTACTGCGAGGCATCGAAGCAGCGTCAGTGACACTCGGCCAAGCTTGGGTGGAAATCACACACGCCGGACGCACGGCGTTCATCACATTGCCATGCACCAAGACCGACATCGTGGGACTATGTGTTACCCGATCGCACCCTTGTTGCTGTACTACATCACCTCGACTTTGCCCTTTTCATGCGCTACAACGACATCTTGAACTTCTACAAGCTCTGGGATGTCCGAAAGACGGTCCGCTGTTTCCAGGGACCGAAGGACAGCCGTTAGACCATCACCAGACCATTGACATCTTTAGATCTGTCATTTTGGCGACGGGAACATCGATGACTCGCATGGGACCCAATGGTTCACTCCTCGATAGATTTTGTGAACATGTATGTCGAGTGTCCGGATCACAGATGTTGACTCGACGAGGCTTCCCACTCGACACCGTGCAGCTGATCGGCCGATGGGGCAGCGACGCGATCAAGGTGTACGTGCAGGAGTCACCGCTACATCGAGGAGACGAGTTTCATAGGCCCGAGACCCCAAGCAAGCCCGAACAGGTACGCGAGATGGTCGCGCAGTACCTGGAGACACTCCGGACTAAATTCTGGGTAGTCAATTCTTTAACTAAAGTAGTACATCTACCGGGAGTATCTGAATCCTCCTGCGATAACACCCACTGGCACACGATCTGTGGATGGCCATACGGCTTCGCGCCACATCGTCGCGAGTACCGCGAACCCCCGGGCCCTAAGTGCAAACGATGTTTTCGGCTACGCGAAGCACAAGCCTTCGCAGATGCACAGCCTGACGAAGACGAGGACTGAATCTCGAGTGACTCCCGCCCCGGCGATGTGTCTCCGAGATCACCTCAAGCGGCGCTCAGACACACCGATGGGCACAAAGCCACGCTTGTTGCTGCCCCTCGATCAATAACGCTTTGTAGCCAACTCGACGCATACCCGAGAAATTTCTGGTTCAATCCCGACGTACCCCAGATAACATGAGCAGCCCACTTCAGGATGCTGCCGACTTGGCGGGTATCGACTTGTCCACCGATGTGGTGGCCAGGTACCTGGCTAGACTTGGTCTTAAATCGCACGCGACCATCAGCACATACCTCAAAGACGACGCGAGCATCACCGATGTCATCACTACCCTCGCCCACCGTATCCCATTATAAACCGGGTAGGCGTTATTAACCAGGTTCTTAAGACGAAAACCAGGTTTTGGGACTTGGTGATTTTGGAGGGTTCATTCAAGCATGAAGTTCGGGATATTTGGAGGGGTTTGGGTGGTTGTTGAGAAGAAGAAATGCAAGCTATGCCTGATGTCCATCTCGACTTTTTCGGCTCCGCGGTCTTCGTCTTCTTGATCGGCCGCGCGCTGCAGCCTTACGATTTTGCTGTGCATCCACACATGTCGTTTGGCCTTTGATGAAGCTATTCTACTCGTAGTAAACATCTATTGGTCAATAAGATCCTCGTCACTCGATCTGCATTACATGACATCAATCAGCCTTTCGATTTGCATGGTATGACGTAGCCTGCTTGCACAAATTTCGCATGCGTAGCTTCCAGCGTACGCTCGATTGTACGCTGTATTACACGCTGGGGGGCTACTCTGCGGCTCACCCTCGACGGGCGGCCTATATAGTCTTCTTCAGTTTGGCAGCTGAAGACTGCCACGTTGAGGATCCAATCGGCTTTCTGCGCTTGATCCCACTCCAAGTAAAAAAGGTGGTGCAACCGGTGGCAGTTGGGTGTGAAGTAAAACAAAGCTCGGCCTTGATCGTATGCAGAGCGTGCAGCTTGACCCATCAGAGCAAGAAATCGGAAGCCATGTGAAGATAATTCGACAGCATCGGTGTGCCAAATCCAAACAGCCGCTTTGTAGCTCTTGGAAATGAAAGCATAAATCTCCCGAGCGGCCAAGCAAGCAATCTGCAGCAAAGACCCTTCATCGATGAAGCCCGCATGGCGAGCGCATGCACTGATGAACCAGCGACAAACCACGGTTGAGGTTGAGCCTTTGCTCCACGAAGCACAAGGGTAATCAGCCGTAGATGCCCAGCCGGAGGTGTCACGCGTCATCTTCCTAATCAAAGGGTTCTGGTTGTTGGCTTTACACCAACTGAAGAAGTCATCAGACATTGCTTGGAATTTGGCGGGGACACTCCGTCCTGGGAAAATCTCGTGTAGCAGTACCAAACATGATCCCAGGAACTGCTTGGCAAAGCCTAAATGCCACCCGTGGAAAAAGTCTTGTCCCAGGAGGGCCGTTGGGTCTGTGGAATCCCCGGGGAGCCTCGTTAACGGAGGTGAGTTCATGAACGGGTTCTGGGTGTTAACGGTGCGCCTCCACTTTGGCTCCCTTCCAGAGAAATCCTCAAATGGAAAACCTGGTTGGTCCGCACGGCAAACGTGACAGATCCCCTTAGGAACCCCACGTGACGTTGCTTGCTTCGAACAGTTGGCGAAAGAACGAGACAAATTGAATGCCTTAGCCAGCCATGGCCAGTCTCCAATAACATGAATCACCGCGAACGTGTAGGTGTCGCCACTCGGAGATTTTATCCCGTCTCTGTAGGCCTTCACCATATCATCCGTAAATACACCCAGGTATTGTTGGAAAATCCATCTGCTTGTCAAAGAGTGGCCTGTCATATTCAGAAGTTGCTTGCAATAGTCCTCCGCTCCGTGCACAGTGCCGGCCTCGCAACCGTATCCAAGGATGCTGTGACACGATACTATTAGTATCCCCGTCTTCTTTTTGGTTCGGCCCTCGTCCCCGTGGACGATCAGGGCAATCGTCTTGGCAAGATTTATCTCGCCAGCTTGTGCCCGCCTGAAGACGTCGTGATTGGGATAGATTTTTCTGTACCTAGACCAGAAGCAGGTCCAAATGGCATCACACCTCGCAATGTCGGGCTCGCTGAGGCCGCACAGAGTGTGGAGCAAGTTTCTCGAAACCAGGTAAAGCAGCCAGCTGCTCAAAAGGACCACTGGCAGCACGCATCCGTGAATGCAACATTCAGAAATTTCAATTGGCACTGTCAGCTGGCACCTTCGTGCCATTCGGTGTGCATCACGCTCACTATTCTTCACCCCGCACGCAGCCATCGTCTTGACACTTGTGTTAGCAGCCTGCGGCACCTCTTGCATCACGGCCTGCACCGTGCGAATCGCGCCCAGGACGGGAGCCTCGGCGTGCAAAACAAACCCTATCTATTCGCACGCAATCGGACCTGAGGACAGAGAGAGCAGAGAGAGCGACGAGTTGACTGCAAAGCCTTGCAAATCTATTGGTGGATCGACACTGACTGATGCACAAACTAGCACAATCAGCAAAAGCCACGCACAGGCACACAGGCACATGCACCGACCATATAAGCGACTTTAGATATGCATGCGTGCACACCGCAGAATACCGCGTGAGATTACACACTCGCCCGACCGGCCCACCTTCTCCCCAAGTGCCCACACAGACCGAAATACCGAACCAGACCACCAGCACAGACCGACATGCGAACGCATTGCCGACTAGATAAAACAATCTTTTCCCGGGTTCAGTACTGGCCCTTGGCGTCGGGTGCCCCCACGAGGTCGCATGAGATGCGATGCGGGTGAATTGTGCAAAGCATGCGAGTGTGATATCTCACAGCAAGACATGCACATCAAGATCGGGTCAGCAAGGCTTGTGTTTGAAGCTTCGCCAGACGACATATGTCATGTGCACAGATATCGACTCACTCTTGCTCAGGTTGTCTCCGCCAGAGCGAATGTTTCGACATCCAGGCACCCCTCAGCTGTATCAGTCTTTGAGGTCGCTACAATAAGATTTGTATATAATATAAAACACGTATATGCAGATAGGTTCTGGTGGCTAGCATCGGCCGGGGATCCTCCGAACTTGTCTATCATCGCCGCCTCCAACATAGCTGGGGAGTATTTCTCCGGGCAGATGAATAAAATGTACATTCCTTGCCACTTGTCTTTCTCCCAGCGGTAGCCGTAGGAGCGGTTTTCCCATCTGGTTACGGGGTCGCCCGTCATGCCGAATTTGAAAATCATCGGGTAGAGTTTGTTATGTAGGGCTTCCATTGTTTTGAAGGCGTGTTGAAGAACGCCTCCTGCCGTTCGAGCTCCCACCGGTAACCTCCACGAGATGTGTTCATGTCCATCAACTTTATCGAGAACTTCAAGCACTTCGGGCACTAAGACTTCTTGAGGGAGGTTTGCATCTTGCCAGCGAGACGATCGTCTGGAGTCCAATGCCGGAGCTATCGTGTTGCAGGAACGATTGTTGCAACAACCATGATCATCACAGATCTTGTGCTCAGGGGAGGGTGAAGTGGCATTCGAAGCAGGACTTCTCCATGGAAAGGGTCCGTCCCTTTCCTAAGATGCATGGCACCAGGCCTGATGAAAGCTTCATACCGATTGATCGAGCATGGTGCTATAAGCTTGCGACACGACATTGCAATCAAGTAGCAGTTCGGTGACATGTCAGCAAATCCCAAAGCTCAAGCTCTGCATCTTCAGCAAAGAAAGACATCCGGATCGAGACGACCCCCCCGCAAAAAGTTGACCCCGAGTTCTCTGAGCCACACGTCGCACACAAAGCCATACTGTTACACAGCCATATAGCTAAACCCGCTCGGAAGCACGATCTGGCTTGAGCACAGGCTCCATCTCCGATGTCTTGTACCCAGCGGCGAAGTGCTGGGCCCACAGTACCTGGCATGGATAGGCTCAGGGTGGTCGCTTTAGCTCAGGTGTTGGGCTCCAGGTCAGATCAGGTCAGCTTCGACTTCGATTCTGAATGAACAGTTGCCAGTGACGTGACGGCACACTGTATGGCAGCACTGCGTGAGACCAGCAACTTTTTGTCCGGGACGCGCATTTGGTTGAACCTTCCCCAAGCAATTATCGTCACTGTCGTGAATGCACGCAGCGATGCAGACGAGCAAGCAGGATGCTCAGATTTCACATTGGCACACGATGCCCTGACTCCTTGTTTTGCATTCGACTGTACTCTAACTAAATCGTTGAAAGAACCCGAAGACCAGTTCTGAAAGCAGGCAGCGGTATAGATATTGAATGTATAACTCTGTAAGGAGTCGTACAGCAAGGCACAACCATATATTACGAAATGCACGCCAGCTAGGAGGCCGGACATCATCCGTGTGACACCGGAAATCGACCTAAGAGTCATCTAGCAAGGAAGTGCCAGATCTCAGCACATATGCACCCAAGATCAAGTTTTGATCATCCGCACATACTTACGACCTCCTCCTTCTCTTCGCAGGAGGAGCTGCTGCAGCCTTCTTCGCAGCCGCCTTCGGGGCGGACTTGGGTCTGGCACTCGGCTCCTCGCCGGCGTTCTTGTCCATGTGCTTCTTCGCATTCCTGCAATCTGTGCGGCTACTACAGTGCGGAGATTTCAAGTTCGGACACGTAGGATATGCATCAGACTGCGCATTTCAATACACATCCCAGAACAGTCCTGGCACGCAGCTCCGCTGCCGTGGCACGGCTCGACCTGATCGAAGCTTTTTTGCCAGGTGTGAGGTATGCATTTAAATCAGAAAGTCGATCGAGATATTATTTGAGGCCCGGAAATGTTGACTGCGAGGAAAGCTTGACTATCTGCTTCTGAGCGGTGGGCACATAAGTAGCATTCTTCATCAGGGGGTCCGCCTCAGCCCACCACCTCGGTTCGGTTTAGAAATTCTATACGAAACACCAAAAAGCAGTCTTCATGGACACAAACCTATAATGCATAACGAAAACAGTCCAGCCCAAACTCGACTGAGGCCCCCTCGTTGCATTGAAGCCAGAAACCTCGCCCTTTGCATACTGCAAGTTCATCTTGTCGTGCTCAGATTCCAACTGCTTCACACCGGTGTCCAAGGCCTTGAGGTGCCTGTCAGAGAAAATTTGGAGGCGGGGTTGCTCCGTTAATTTGCGTGAGAGTACAAGTTCATGCTCGGGTTCGCACTCGGCAGCTTCGGAAGAATCACTGTACTTCTTGCTCAGCTCTTTCACGAGAGATCGAAGCTTCGAAGATTTCTGCAGCAGGCTTTCCATGAACTTGGAGTAGATCGCGCGCTGCTGGCCGAGTGCAGAGGCATTTAGTTGTGTGCGAACATAGTGTGAAGCTTGGATGCACCATACCGCTTTCATACTGTGCACTCACACGAATACACGAATACACACACACACACACACACACACACACACACGCACACTCACACACATGCCACGTAGCCTCCCCCGCAGACTTGCAACCATCCGCGCCCGAACTTCCTCCGGGGTCCGATCGTACACGGGCCAGCCCATCATCCAGACCCTTGAAAGCATCGCCCAAGTCCACTTCCTTGTCAGCCTCAGAGGACTCTGTGCCATGCCATGGGAAGCATGCAGTGCAGAGCATAGTACAGTCGGCGTCGGCATGGGGCTCGTAATTTTGGATTGCACATAAAGCTGAGAGGCTGCACGCTTGGAGCGGTGGCTCTCCTCCTCTGTGAGGCTGGCTGTATGGGTGCCCGATTCTCGGACAACGACCCAGTATTCCAGGACCCCGTCACACATGTTCCTCCTGCCACAGCACAAGGGAATGTAGCACTATGTTTGGCGATATTTCTACATACAGGGGTGCCCATCATAGTGATATTGTCTGTGGGTTTCATAAGTATCGATCAAAAATATATACTTATCTAGTGTATTTTTATATGAAAAAGGTAAACCCCATAAGAACCGAACAAATGCATGCGGGTCCGTATGAGATTGGCCGGGTCTTTCTGGCAGTGGGCGATGGCGCCCGCGATCCTTTGCCTCAGCTTCTATAACGATCGAAACATGAGCATATATATGCGACTTGTCACCACTCACACTGGATGTGCTGTAGCTGTGTACGAACTTAGCCGGTTAAACATGTAGTATTCAGGCTCCGACGCAGACCATCCAAGCTCCGATTTCATTTCGCCTTCGGAATAGAAGCCTTGATCTTTCACAATCTTAATCGCACGAATCTTCTTCACCACCTTCTCGAGCTCACTGATGAAGGTGGTCTGCGGGAATCAGCCGAAATCAAGAATGAGAAGCAGCAGCATTAAAACTCAGAATCTCGAGCCCGCACCATATAATCAATATATTCAAATTCACTATAGCCGAATTGAGGACTAATTCATTATATTCCTACACGGGCATTGTACATCTACTGGAAATCCGACCTTGTCCCAGTTCACCTCTTGTAGTAAATCGGCCATAAGCTCCTTCGCCGAGGTCCCGGAGTGCTACTTCTCCGAAACCCAGGCCGGAACTTGGAGATCCGATCGCTTGCTCTTCGGCTTACACATTCTCCGGATTCTCTGCTTCGCGGCGTTTTTGAGAAGTTCCTCCGGAACTGCAGCGAAACATTCACAAGCAATTGTGTTGCTCAAACATCCTTGCATGTAGAGATGCTCTGCGGTGCGCGGCCCGAACTACTTCGACCAAAGAAGCAGAGGAACCGAAAGCCCATAACGGCCACGTAATTTAGGCTAGTGGCTCTTCTGCTCGACACTTTCTTCTTCTTGTACTTCCCGCTGGCCTTTGCAGGAGCATCCGTGTCGTCCTGGAACGACGAAGAGGCTCGGCTCTTGCAAGTTAAACATATGCCACTCTGACAAAACGATATGTTGCAGTCCTCTGGGAAGTCTTCTGCTTCTTCTTCTTCTTCACTCTTGGACAGCAGACACTGAGAGCCGGGTGCAGGCAAGGCGTCGGAAGGCTTTGCAGACGGACTCGGAGGCACATGGGATGTCACCGTCGGGGCCAAGCTAGATGCAACGATGTCCTGAACCGGCGTCGGAGGGAGTACCTGGGATGTCGCAGATTCAGCATGCTTGTAATGATAACTATCTCCATTCGATACGCCATGCATGTGTGTGCACCATTGGAACGTAGATAGAAACCTGCCTGCGTATCGTCGTAGCCTGGAATTGTCGTCGCCGGAGATCTCGGGGTCGGCTGTTGGGCGTCCTTGCTAGCTATAGGACAGCAAACAGTGTATATATGCATGTACATAGGCAGTGATTTGGACTGTACTAATACAGAACCTCGGTCCCTACCTCGGCAGGATCCAAAGACAGCGTCGAAGACGGTGGAGCAGGCATTTGCAGGTGCTGAAGTTCAGCCTGCAGTTCCTGCACGCTAAGATAAAGTTTGGAGTCTGTAGCAGCCTATCTGTTTGAGCTTCGGATAGTTTCAAGGAGGCCCCGGCAGCTTTGGCATGAGTAGAACCTATTGCAAGACCAGTTTAGCTGAACCTACATGTGCTCGATCCCTTTTGGCCATATAGAAGTATAGTACAAGCGTGCTCCTTTGATAATCAGAGAACACATGCCAATGCATGGCATAGTAAGGCACTAGGACACAGGCCATTGTATTCGGTATATACACATATTGCTGCAAGTAAGCATACTATGCAGGGGCTCAAGGCTTTTATACTTAACTCTCTACATAGATCTAGATATGTGCATGCACCCATACAGAGATTGGTATGTTTGTACACATGTACAAATGCACTCGCAGGTACGTGTGTATGTGCATGCGTATGCATATATATATATATATATATATATATATATATATGTGTCTCTATAGAACCAATATATATATATATATATAGACAGCTAACAGCATGCATGCATACATGCATATATATATATATATATACACACTTGATTGGTTTACGCATATACATGCATGCATGTATACATACAGCGATCGCATACGTACCCCAAACCTCAAAGCAAAGCCCCAAACGCCCGAACACACGGGGTATACACATCTGTCGGTAGGTCTCCTCGGCTATGTCCATTCGGACACCATCTTCAAGCCCGTGGACGAGGCTACCACAATCCGAAAGCCTTCTGTAAGGTTTGTGGCTTCTTGCCCAGGCCTTCAAGTTCGTGATTTTCGGAATTCCAACAATTGCATGGTTTCATAGGGCTTGCGAATCTACACCGGCCGCCATAGCTATGTGTCCATGAGCCAGTTTAGATCTGTTCGTGTGTGTGCAGTGGGTTCACGTGTTCCTACAAATTAGATAGTTGTGTATCATCGAAGATAGCACGCATCGGTTTGTGAGATCCTACTAGCACTCTTTGTTTATATATTCATGAGGCTGCCATAAATGATATATACAAAGCCTAGATAGCATACCTCGGTATATATATATATATATATATACACATATAATGTACTATATATATGTATATTAGGTGTATATTTCTATAGTATATATACATACAAACTATATGCAGTAGTATATGTATATATATATATATATATATATGCATATGTGAAATGTCTAGATGCAGGTGAGTCAGGTCTGCGTGTATAGGTATAAGTATGCATGTATATGCATACATGTATATGGGTGTGCTGCTCCATGTATACATACAGGCACGGTCACATGCCATTTCAGCTGCAACATATGCACACATGTGGAGCATGTGCGGTCAGCCCACTTGCCCTTATATTAATGCATGCAGAGCCACAAAAACCCGACCGGCAAAGATTCTTTAATCGTAGCATAAGCTAGTAGAATCTGACACCAGAGATGCGCCACACCCATCATGCCCACTGATTAGTTGCTAAGAAGTGAAAAAACACTATTGAATCGCCTTCGAAACCCATTGTGCCTTCAACTCGTTCAGCAGCTGAGCTTCGGCCACCGCGGCCGTTTGTGCCAACGCCTCGTCGGCAACGTATCCTGTTCCCACCTGTAGACTGGAACAGCTCCATCGGCCAGACATTGTTCTAACCGGCTAGGAAAAACCAGGCTCCGGTTGCTTCGAAGCAAGGACTGCGAGGCGTTTGCTCTGTCAAATGACATGCATCGGCGTTTGCCAGGAAGCGGAATCTCTATGATGCAGCGCACGAGCATGCGGTGCGAGGCCGGGCTCATATTTTGAATCTCCGAAGCGATCTGCTCTCCAGCAGTGGCCAAAACCACGGTTCAGGGAGCTCGCGGAGCGAATTAAACGCAGCTAAAACGCATCTTAAGCGCATTGCCAAAAACCGGGTTTTGCCGTACGGGTGATTACGGGTTCTGTACGGGTTTTGTACGCTTTGCCCAAAACCGGGTCGGTGGAAGAATACGGGTTTGTTCGGGAAGATTTCGGGTTTGGTCGGGAAGGTTCCGGGTTTTTGCCATTCGACCTGCTTTCTGCCAGCCAGGATGTTGCTAAAGTTGCTTAAAACCAGCTAAAACGCTCATATTAATATTGCACGTAAAACGAGGTCTTACCGCAACCCTTTAAATCCCTTTAAAACCCTTCCCTGGCCTGGCCCAAAAGCAAGCGCTCTACTCTTCAAGCGAGTACGGAACGTAAGCCCGCCACTCCGCTGGAATCGAGAGGCTTGTGCCACCCCGGAGATATTCGTAGGGTGAATTTAGGTTTGCAAACCTGAACAGCTGGGTATCCTCATCCTGGTCTAGCATGCTTTTGAAGCTACTCAAGGCTGGTGGAACCTCTTCGCCGGCATCCGTAAACCCATTGGCCGTGGCCTTGAGATCTTCGAAGATGTTGGCGATAGCCAAGCCGAAGAGCACGGGGTACTTCCTGAGATGTTGTGGGCTTATAGGGCATCATAGTACTATAGAATGGTAGACGCCTTACACACAGGTCGGTTTTAAATACATATTTAGTGCACAATCCAAGGCCGCCCTGGACTACAGTGGGTTTATATTTTTCAGGTTCGAACCAAGTTAGGTAAGTATCTACAATAAGGCATATATTGCATAATAGCTATATATTAAAAGGCCCCAGCCTACAATAGGCGAAGTCCGGGAACTTATAAGGAAGTAAAACCTATATATACCCTGAATTAGCTTAAATCCAAACAAGCGTCTCTGTGCCCTTCAGTTCTTTGGTTCCGTAGTAGCGAAGCTTTCCATTCTTGTCGGGTTTGGCACGGCGGGTTTTGGTTCTGTTGCCTGCTTTCTCAAGCCTCGCTTTAATCATCTGAAGTTTACCTTTGTCAAGACGACGGATTGCCGGAGAATTGGAATAAGCGTACTGCCGCTTCAGGCTGTTGCCAAAGTACGCCCCCATGTACCATCCCGCGCGCGTAACCTGAGCTACCATGCTTCTCATGCTCGAGGACAGTTGCTTCATACTTCAGAACGATCTAGACTCTGCTGCATGCACATATTGACAATTGTAAACATACATATCATGTTTCATCACTGCAGGGATGCAACGGATCCCACTCCTCCCAATTGAAAAAGGGACACCACAAAATGCCGCCATGTCGGGTAGAACTCCATGGTGGAACCGGCCGGCTGTTCAACGATCCAAGTCCCACCACAGGCCGTGACCAGGTACAAGAGGAGGCAGACCCTGCACGGCCAGGGCACCGTAAAGTAACCGACGTAGTCTAAGTTAACAGCTGCAACAAGTCGGTTCTGGCCAAGCGAAGAATCACAGCTATTCGGAATCAATGCTTTTATAAGCAATCAAACAATATAATGTACTATTATAGTCATGTGCATGCATATATATACATATTCCGGATAGCACGTAGACCGAAGAGTCCTGCCCCTATACATCTTTCAGGGCAAAGCTCCGAACATCCTGTCGATGACCTATATGCGCCTGTCGACTCCGACACAGGACCACATGACATAGGCATGTACACGCACATGTGTATGGTAATATTGTCCATGTTGTGAATGTATACATGTATATAGATAAATGCATGCATGCACGTATACATGTGTGCATGATCATGTGTGAATATATCTGCATACGGGCATGCCATGCAACAACATCCCGATATGTATTCATGACTTTGCTGAACGATTAAGAGTATCGATCTCGATTTTAATTAATCATGGAAATATAACCATATACCAAAGACCCATATGAACAGCTACAGATATATTTTGTAAGTGGAGCCACTGTACCGCCTTACCAACACAACATATTTATGTACGCACACAAACTGGTTTAGGAATTTCACTGAAAAAAAGAAGCAAACCGATCCCAAACATTGCAAGATTGAAAACCGAGAATCCTCTCCAACATGCAATTCCCCTCAGCCACCGTGGGTCTCTCTCCAAACCCTGTGCTGGATGAAGGAGCTCGGCCAGAGTAGCCGCTGTTCATAGCACAGAACGACGAGCATTTAAGCCCGAACCAAGCTGCAAAGTTTCTCGTGTAGCCCTTCAGTATGAAGATGATCGCCAGACTTGGCTGCACAGGCGAGCACAGGCAGCAAGAGCTAGAGCTTTTACCGACTTCCTATCGTGTGAGCACAAGTATATGTGCATGTGCATGCACACATTTGGTATGTGTGCGTGTGTGTGTGTGTGTGTGTGCGTGTGTCTGTGCATTTCTTTGTGCAGACACGTGCACGTATGTAATTGCGCGTCTGCGTGTGTGTGTGTGTGTGTGTGCGTGCTATGTGTTATTGTTGTGAGCGATGTGCGTCTTAATACCTACGTGCGGGCGGGCCTCTAAACTAGAGGACGATTGTTGTAGCGAAGGGACACTACGGCTGCAAGCTTACTTAGAAACACAAGACGAGTAGCCAGAATCCCGAATGAGATGTGATGTCCTGGAAGTTGCTGCATGCCTCCCCATCGATATCATCCCCAGTTGGCTTTGGGAAGTAGTCGATATCGAACTTTGCTGCGCGAAAGCCCCGTAGACGAATGCAACGAGTATTCGCTGCGTGACCAGCAAAGAATTCCAGCCAGTCGTACTCCTAAAGACACTTTCAAATCTGAACACCGGCTGCGCCTGACTGTGCACGTATGAGAAACGCAGTGCCTCCTTCAGGTCGTACAAGCCGGACGTCCAGATCACCAGGAGCACCGTGAGAACAAAATCCTGTCAGCACGGGGCGCTAGTTACTTGGGATACGGGTCAGGTTTGGAATTAGCGGGGATGTTCGGAATTCAGGAAAAGCCGACTTGGAAGTATCGTAGGCACTTACATCTAGTGAATTCCCTCGTTAATACATCCTACCTCCCCCTATAACGAGATGCACGTCTGAATGTGCTTGTGTAGATATCGCATGAACTTATATAGTTATGCAGTTTCTATACCCTTCTCCCTCTATGGGTCCCAGATGCCTGCTGTATTCCGAGAGGGTCAAAGCGGCTAGATGATTGGCCTATGAAAACCATAGAGGTTTAGGATTTTGTGGCGAAGGAATTGTTGATCGAAGATTTATGACATTTTCGAGCACATATAGGATTTGCACTTCCATAGGATTTGCGGGGAGCACATATCTAGTCGGGGCATTGACATAAACCGATGTTTCTATGGTTCGGTAAAGCCAAATCCAACATCCACTGACATGCCTCCCCACAACAGGCAAACAGATCCCATATAAATTGGCCGATGTTATGTTGTGATGTCGATCTGCATAATAGTAATTAACTGATTCCGTGCTTCCTCAATCTTCAAAGATCTTGAACGATATGAGGTCTACATAGCTCCAGAAGGAAACGGGTTTGGAGCCATTGCCCTCTGTGGGTTCCTCATCGAATGCTGCGCGTATCCGGGAATGGGTGAACCTATTTAGTAGAATCGATGGCCGATATTCGGCAATTATGTGTATATTTAGTATTTATACAAGCTTTCTATTTATTATATATATATATACACATTATGATTCTTATTTAACCTATATAGGGCTCTACGTCTCACTATGTTGATCGCACTCGCGAATTGATGGGACGTGTGTAGGTAGCCGAGTTGCCCGTGGAGCTTTCAGCTTCAGGAGGTTGTACACGAGCGCATCAATGGAGACCATGGTGATCCAAGGAGGGGCGGACAGGGCTGTGGTTGTCTGACATAAGAGAATGATCCAATTCAATAACCTGACTGATCAGAATAAGTGCTGGATTTCTGGATGCTACTCCTGAATACGAGATCGCCAGCTTGACGAAGGTTACTAGGCTCGGGCCACGTTGGTACTTTACGAGAAAACTGTTAACCAAAGCAGCCATTGCACCTAAGATCCTAGCACTGCTAGCAGGCATGCCCAAACGCTTTCAGCACGATCCTATTCTTTCAGACAGCATGCACAATCTGCAATTCAGGGAAACATGCCGCGTAGACAGCGAGAGCTCTTCTTGCGATGCCTGCTGCGTCGGCCATACGGGACCTTCCGGGTCTTCCGCCGGCGTGCCATGTCTAAACCTGGGCCAAAGAAAGGATGGGCAGGATGCCTTATATGCCTTATATAGGATGAGCTACATGGCGTCAGAAATTTCACTCAGTTTCGATAGCAGCATCGGCACAGTTCACAGATTTTCCCCTCTCGTAACTGACCCCTCTGCCACGCACAAGAGAGCAACGAAAGCTGTTGCCAGAGACTGGAACTTGGCGACACTCTGGATGTGCCGGCATCTGCTTATGCGATGCAGTTTACGGCACCCTTGCAGCACAACTTGACTGTCCCATTTTACATGGAAGTCTACCTAAATATAAGTCGATTGCAAATTCGTCATATGTATGCCTCTTGCATTCTCATGGTAGCTTCGAGCTCGCTGCTGCTAGGGTGCCGCACAGAAAGATAAGAACGCTTCAAGCGATGACATACTTCAAGCACACATTGCAAAGCCCTGCCATGAGCTATACACAGCACCTAGTAGTGCCATCCCCCTGGCACCCAGCCGTGTTGGCATAACAAGGATAAATCTGCACACATGTGATAGCAGCCATGCTTTCGGAAAATCAGTTTGCCCCCAGCTCTGCGACAGCGGCGAGCCCAACCTGCTTCCAATAGACCGTGGTCTGCCGGATGACAGGATCCTCTGGGTCCAAGATCTTGAAGCGCTGGAACTGGTGTACCTGGGCGAGGCAGGAAGACACCACACTTACCGGTAGTCCAGTAGATATTGCAGCGGAACCCATGGGCCGGGGTTGGGATGAGTTCTTTGACCCCGGCTTTGAAAGCAGAGAGGTCACCCTCCAGGTCATCAACCTCAGAAAGCCAATCCTTCACCCATTTCACATCACCTTTTTCGGCGGGGGGGAGGGCATCATCCTCATCATCCTGGGTGGACTTCTTGCCGCGACCCTTTGCTTTGGCCTTCGCCTTGGGTTTTGGGCTGCTTTTCGGCTTGGGGCTGCATTTCGCCTTAGGCATCTTAGCCTTAGCTTTGGCCTTCGGCTTTCCCTTGGCTTTGGGGCGCTTGTTGCTCTTGCCATCGTCACCATCATCCTCTGGCTCAGCTGCTGCGGCCTTGCGCTTCAATCGTTTGCGATGCGCCCGCCCCTCATGTTCATCCGCAGTATGGCAGCCCTCCTGAGACCGCCCATCCTCCGCAACATGAACATAAATCATTCGCGGTCTCATCCCACACCCACTCCCCATCATTCCATTCGTCGGTGTCATGCTCTCCCACCTTGTCCTTGCTTCCCGAAGATCGCAAAGCCTTCGACTTTCTGCGCTTTGTGCTCAGCAACACTCGCCGTGATGACTTCTTTCGGCGCAGCTTGGGTGCCGAAGCTTTTCCATTGGCCTTGCTTTCCTGATTCTTTTTCTTCTTGGCAGCACGCAAGCCGAGCTGTGCCCTGCGAAGAAGCACCTCCGGAAAACACGATTATGAAAGAACTCTGTCATGCTGAACTCCGGGTACAGGGTGTATGTATGAACAGCTAGCCCAAGCATTCGCCCGCATGAAGCCGAACCAGTCACAGCAGCTATGAATTGCATGCAGCATAGCCACGTAGGAATTCTGCAATTTTGTGGCAAATCACACATGTACAAGCAGAGCGAAATATGATCTAACTATCGCACACTTGTGTGACTGTGATATAAGGCATATACATTCATGCATGTATGCATGCATAATACACGCTGATGCAGGCAAAAGCCCAGCCTCGGGCTCCGTCTCCGGAGCAGGCTCTTCGGTGGGCTTCGTTGAAGGAGCAGGACCGGGAAGGGCCGTGGCAGATTCCGGGGCAGGGCATAATGTGCGTGTGGGCTCCAAATCAGAACGCCTCTGATACTGATCGCGAAGAGTCTCAGCAGCTGGGTTTTCAACAGCAGAACCAAGCAGACTTTCCGAAGACCCCGTAGGAACCAAGGATGCGGGGGTCGCACAATCGTTCACATTG